GGACGAAGGAGGGTTAGGGGGAGACATGATTACCTGGAGTTTACCTGGAGAGAGTTCCGGTGGTCAACGCCCCCGGGGGCCCGGTCTGTGACCAGGCCTCCTGGTGGATCAGAGCCTGATCAACCAGGCTGTTACTGCTGGCTACACGAAAACCAACGTCGAGCCACAGCCCGGCTGGTCAGGAACCGACTTTAGGTGTTTGCCAGTGCCAGCTTGAAGACGCCAGGGGTCTGTTGGTAATCCCCTTATGTATGTGGGAGGCGTTGAACAGTCTCGGGCCCCTGACACTTATTGTAACGTCTTTTAAACGTGCTAGTGACACCCCTGCTTTTCATTGGGGGGATGTTGCATCGTCTGCCAAGTCTTTTGCTTTCTTAGTGAGTGATTTTCGTGTGCAAGTTCGGTACTAGTCCCTCTAGGTTTTTCCCAGGTGTATATAATATGTATCTCTCCCCCCTGCGTTCCAGGGAATACAGGTTTAGGAACCTCAAGCGCTCCCAGTAATTGAGGTGTTTTATCCCCGTTATGCGCGCCGTGAAGTTTCTCTGTACATTTTCTAGGTCAGGAATTTCACCTGCCTTGAAAGGTGCTGTTAGTGTGCAGCAATATTCCAGCGTAGTTTAGAACAAGTGACCTGGAAGGTGTCATCATGGGCTTGGCCTCCTAGTTTTAAAGGGTTCTCATTATCCTTCCTGTCATTTTTCTAGCAGTTTGCGATTGATACAATGTTATGGTCCTTGAAGGAGAGATCCTCCGACATGATCACTCCAGGTCTTTGACTTGGTGTTTCGCTCTATTTGGTGGCCCAGAATTTGTTTTGTACTCTGATGAAGATTTAATTTCCTCGTGTTTCCTATTGAGTAATTGAAATTTCTCATCGTTGAACTTCATTTTGGGTTTTTTTGCAGCCCACTGAAAGATTTGGTTGATATCCGCCTGGAAGCCTTGCAGTGTCTGCAAGGGAAGACACTGCATGAGATTCGGGTGTCGTCTGAAAAGGGAAAGACACGTGCTGTGGCTGACTTTCCCTTTTCTATCAGATATGAGGATGAGAAACAAGATGGGAGCGAGTACTGTGCCTTGGGAACAGAGCTTTTCACCGTAGCTGCACGGGGCTTTTATCTTTTGACTACTACTCTCTGTGTTCTGTTAGTGAGGAAATTATAGATCCATCGACCGGGCTTTTCCTGTTATTCCTTTTGCACGATTTTGTGCGCTATTACGCCATGGTCACATTGTCGAAAGGGTTTTGCAAAGTCTATATTTATTACATCTGCATTCTTTTTGTCTTCTAGTGCATCTAGGACCTTGTGTTGTGATCCAATAGTTGAGACAGACAGGAGCGACCTGTTCAAACCATGTTCCCCCGGATTGGGGAAACTGATGGGTTTTAGTTTGGGTGGTGATCTTGCTTTTTGGACCCCTTTCAAAGATTTTTTTAAATATGGGATGTTAGTGTATGGGTCTGTAGTTCTTTGCTGTTCCCTTTTACTGCCCCCTTTGTGGAGGGGGGCTTTTGTCTGTTGTTTTTGGTAATTGTGGGACGCCCCCCGTGTCCTGCCCCCTCTCCATAGGTAAAAAAGGCTCGTAAATTGGGGGCTTCTTCCCGTTCTTGATGAACAGGGGTTCCATGAGCGGGCCCCGGGGGCCCAGGTCCCCTTGGGCAGGGTAAATTTATCACCTGTTCAAAGTCTTTTGGGTCAGGATAACATCGGAAGGCTTGTTTTAAACCCAAATTTCCCTGTGGCTCTTCAAAAAATTTTTTTTTTTTGTTTCTTCGACTCTCAGTCGGGTTTTAGCGGTTCAAAAAAAACTGAGTCTTTTCCTGGGACTTGGTAGTTTCATTTTTCCTTGCTGTCATCTGTTTTGGGCCCCATTTTTTTAAAATTTTAAAGGGCCCAATCTGGACGTTGTTCTGATTTTTTTTTTGGGGCAT